GTCAGTTATCCAGAGCATTAATTAAGTGAAGTACTTTGTTTTTCAACAATGTTGGTTAAATGAAATACTGCAGTTTATGGACCTTAATTATTTTTTCATTGTGTGCATGGAAGTCTTTTAAAATCCTTGGTCCCTGTGAAGGTTCAAGAGCACTGTTAGATTTGACTTAAAAGTTCCCAGCACAAGAAAAAAATGTAACTATGTGAGATGATGGATGTTAACTAATCTTACTGTGTTAATTATTTCACAATATATACACACATCAAATTATTATGTTGTATACCTTAAACTAATACAATGTTACATATCAATTATATCTCAATAAAACTGAGGGGGGAGGGAGAATTGATCTGAGATGTAGGCATCTGCAATGGAAAAATTAAAAAATGGGGAAATATGGAGAAACTAGATAGTTTCCAAGTACCAAAGAATCATACTTTAATGGAATAATAAAAGTTGAAAAGGTCTTTAGAAATTAACTAGTCTAATCACTTTAATATTCAAATGAGAAAACTAAAGCCTAGAAAAGCTAAATAATTTTTTTCAACTAACATAGACAGTAACAGCCAAGCCTCAAACTAAAACTGTATAAAAATTTGTGAAGTGAGATAGTTTTTTAATCTATATTTTTGACTTCATGCCATTTCTACCAAATCACTGCACTATATTTTTACCTTTTTTGCTGTAATATTTTGTTTAAAATCCCACTCATATATACCCATACTTAATTTTAAGTTTGCAAACACATTCCACAAGAAATTTGAACACATTCTACAAGTAAATATAATATTTTAATATTCTACCTTGTATTATTTTTAGCTTTATTCTTTCCCATTGTTATGAATGTTATAGACTTCATCATAAACAAAAAAAAATTACTAATTCATTTAGGTCGTACAACATTGGTTACAAAATAAATAGAAATAGAACTTCTATTCTTATGGCAAACATTGATACATATTCTGAATAACCAGCTAAATGATAACTTGCCACTAAAGTATGCCTCAAGAGTCTAAGAATTAAGGTGATTTTGTTTTTAAAATATTCAGTTAAAATGCGATGCTTTGAGGGATTTTTGTATATCAGATAATTAATTATACTGAAAACTAGGAAGGCAAGGTATATTTTAGATAAACTAATAGGAACTAAAAGTACCTATTGTGAGAAGCAACAGTTTTTTTCTGATTCTCAATTAAGATATTGCATTATTCAGACTGATATACAACCTGTAAACCATATGGAAAAACAACTGATCCTGTGTCAAACGGTGTAATTGTATAGATTTCATAAATTCAATAAATAATGTGAATTTAAAGTTCTGTGACTCAGATATATATATTTCAATCAAAGAAGGAGGTTTGTCTGAAGCCAAGGGACATGGCTGTTATGACTGTTGTGGTTGCATACTTGCTTCTAAATTGTAGGTCAAGTGTTTTCTAAAAACATATGCCAAGGCTGTTGGCCACTCATGCCTCTTGTTAGCATTTCCAGTAAACAGAATTTCCTACAGGACTGACGCACACAGTTAGAAACTATCTTGGCTTAATCTGAGCTTTATTTATCAGTATTAAGGACATATGCCACCCAAATCACAGAGCTGTGAACTTCAAAGGAACAGTCTCCTAAGTCTTGTCTCCAAACTCGAGAGAAAACTGTAGATGAAGAATAACATATCAAGAACATGAGCAGTTCTGTATTTGTATATGTATGTACATAGGGAAAAAAGTCTGTTAACAGTAGTTGCCTTTGGCAAGGGAAATGGAATTGGCATAGTTTTTATTCTCTATGTTCTCATTTTTTTTTCTCTGTAGTTCTGTATTGTTAGGATTTTTATGAGAAGATTTTCTTATGTAATTTAAAACTACCAAAAAAAGGCTGATGTAATTCTTAAAGCTTTAGAGACTAGAGAATGATACAGCTTTCCTTGATAATAATTTTTTTCATAGACAGAATCTGGTAATTTGATTTTTGGGAAACTTAATCCCACCTGCCACGTTGAAGGTCATTTTTTATTTTTGTGGTTTTGAAAGATGTGGAGCTGCCTAGAATCTTCTACATTAGTATTTTTCAAATATATTTTAAGCCAAAAATCTTTCATCAAATGAAACCTTATCTTGAAATCCAACAAATGGGATAAAGGTGGAGCTGCAGGGTTCCTGTCCACTCGCCCATTCCTCCTGGCAAGTGAAGCACACGTTGAAAAACATTTCTGTAAATATGCATTCATTTACAGAGAGATGTTTATTAAATCAGCCTTCTTGTTTTCAGGTTATTTAGTAATCTAAATGTTTAAAAGTGCTTTCTATAATACTCCCGAGGAAATAAAATAACTACCAATTTGCAAATATCCATAGTCGCTTGGCCAAGTAACATATGCTTACTGCAACCCACTGAAGTACTGCTAAAAGATCATCATATGGATAAAGACTGGTTATTTCCATTATTTTTTGTCTGTGATATGGACAGGCTGACATTTAATGGGGTGGTCTGACTGTAATTTATATAGATTGCTGGAGTCCTCTATGTGCCACATTCATGCCTTTGAAGGAGCATCTCCAGGACTGTCCAGTCAGCCTCTATAATGATTTAATAGAAATCTCCTACCTTTGGTAGTTTATCCATTCATGAGTTGAAAGCGTAGGTTCTCAGTCTCATGCAATAATTCTATACAGAACAGAAAGCTTCCCGCTTCTGGGCTCTGCTAATCAACTCAGGTCTAATGTTCATTCCCCCAAAAGAGCTGTGTCCAGTAGTGAGGAATTCAGATCAAGCAAAAAGCAAGGTTTAAAATTTCCCTGACAATTAAATTACTGAAATGACTAAGAATGTTTCCCCAAACAAGAACACCTTATTCCAAAGTGTTATATGTACCAATTGCAAGACGAAGCTATCAAAGGAAAACAACTGCTATTTTATTTGGTCCATTGATACAGTGATTTGGTTGAATCATCATGATGTAAAACACCATATACAAAGGGATATGACCAAAAGAATGTTAGCCCTAGGTAAGAAGGGGCCCAACACTTGCCTCTCTCCTTTCTAATCTCTCTCCCCACAAAGGGCAAATGTTTTTCACTGTAAGCTTAAAATATTATTTCTTGGCCTACTAAAATCAGAATCTCCAGAGATTGAATCTCCCCAAGTGTTGCAGATAAGACACTAAAAGCCACTGCTCAGGTATGCCAGTGGGTCCCTTCCCCACTTCCAGGGATGAATTATGATTGGCTGATACCAAACTCTGTAACACCATTCTTATTTTCCAGTTGTTGGTTTAGGGCTGAGCACAACTCATTTCTTGCCAATGAAATGTGTGGGCAAGGCTACAGAGTGCCTCTGGGTAAGATTTTGCTTCCTAATGAAATCAGGAAAGAGGAGAGCCCTTTCCACTTTTTGTTTTTAAATGTTCTTGTGTGTGTGTTGGGAGGTGGGTGGAGCTGTGGATGGAGACTGTGTTTCTTGGAACTCTAGAAAGTTCATTTACCCATTAAGAAAAAGTCAAGATTTACCCATTAAGAAAAAGTCAAGATTAACTCATAAAAAGCAGCCTAGACCCTGATACCATTGGGCTGCTGTACAAACCCGAGATCCACGTATCTTCAAACATCTTGTTGTATGAGAAAACTAAACTTGTATTTTTGGAGGCAATTTTGGCCAAATATCCTGTTACTTGCAGCCCAAAGCAGCCTAGCCAACAGAACAGGTGGTTTTGATGCAGAGCCAGCTCTGCGTAGCTCTGATGAGAAGTAATGGTGAAGAAGCTCTGGCTTACCCGTGTCTCCCTATGTGACATGGTGCAACATCTCCATTGAAGATGAACGATCAGAACACTGCCTTTGTATTGATGATTCTCAAAATTGTCCAGAAAGTAACATTTGAGTGCAAGTTTTTAGTGTCATTCTTTTAGTCAACAGAGATTATATATTGGGTTGTCGGAAAAGTTATGACGCATTTTTGCAACGAAAAACATAAAAAAATATGTCATGACTTTTCCGACAACCCAATATTTAAATTGTAAGGTTATCTATTTTCCCTCTCGTTCCTCTGAAGTTCAGTTGTAATATTTGAATATTGAATGAAAAAAAAAGTTGGGCTTATAGATATTTGACTTCTTGTTTTCATTTTCTGCTTTCTCTATTTGGTAGAATTCTACTAGTCATTCAAGGTCTAATTCAAATGTCGCCGTCTCAATTTATATTTCCTAACTCCGTGTAAACTAACTCTGTCCCTCTTTTTTTTTTTTTTTGAGGACTCATTGATTAATTCAAAAAACACCTATTAAGCTCTTGCCAAGTTTTAGCCCTTGTGCTGGAATTCAAAAATGAACAGTCTGATAAAGTTCCTCACTGAAAGGTTACAACCTGGTCAGAGAATGAAAGATCATTCCTAAACAACCATAATGAAGTGTGGTAACTTCCAGTTTTAGGCACATGAAATAGCAACCTCATCCCTTCACCATCAGTGAAGTTCATCAGACTTTCCCTGGGTTTCTATGGTGTGTAAAGCACAAGACATTCAAAGATGACTGAGATGCAGTCTCTCTTCTTTAAGGTGGGGAGAGAGGCTGATATATCTTCACCAATCTAGTTTCTTCTGCTGCCTGGACACATCTATAGTTGACATTTTCCTGCCTCCCTTGCAGGTCAGGGTGGTATGTGACTGAGGTCTCACAGGTGGGATGTGGGCCTAAATAATGTATGCTTTTTCCATTCCTCACCTGTAAGAAACCTCTCATGCAATCCTCTACATACCTTCTCTTTTCCTGTCCATAGCCTGGAAACTACAGACTCCAAGGTCCAAGGGGATGGCGAAAGCCTAATACAGAAAGAGTTTAGGTTCCTGAATCACTGAATAAAAGGCCACCACCTAAATACCATTACATGAGTGAGAACTAGGCATTACTTGAGGGAGAAATAAACTTCTACTGCGTTGTTACTGTGATTTAGGAGTTCATCTGTGATAGCAGCTGCTGCTACCTTAATGCAATTATGATATGAGAAGTACAGGCATACAGTTAAACAGGGGAGAGGAGGTATTGCTTTGCTTGGCTGAGGTCAAGTGATTTTTGAATCAAGCCTTGAAAGATGACTCAGTCTTGTAAAGACAATAAAGGCCATTATAGGCTGAGGAACCACATGAATAAAGGAGGAAAGGAGAAAAGAAAAGTGCATGTAGGGAACTCTATGCACAGCTCTATTAATTAGAGCTTTGTGTGCAAGATGTAGAAAGGTCAGAGGAAAATGGAGATGAAAACCCTGAGTGTAAATCCTATGTCACTGCCTCTTACTTGGGCCATTTTTGGCAAGCTAACCAGTCAGGGTAAGTTCCTTCATCTGTAAAATGGTGATAATGCCTATGTCACAGACAATCGTAAAGCAGTACTAAGTACCTCACAGAGTACCTATGTGAGGTACATGTGAGGTACATTTAGTCCTCCCAATACTTTATGTTCCTTTTATAAAACTTTCCTTGAGAAAGAAGCATGCATGTACTGTACTGAAGAGCACAGATAAGGAAGAACAGTAAGTTGAAACTTTCTAGTCCTTCATAAAATCGACAGAAAGATAAATAAAAGAATGAATTCCTAAAAAGTCAAATAACTTTTATTATATTGACAAGATGTATTGAATAACTTTCTAAGGCTGTTACAAACTCTTCAGAACTTATGAACGTGTTTTCCTTAACATGTATGACACATGACTACAAAGTACTAAGAACACTTCCTCATTACACAAGAATACATAACACAGGCAGCTACATTTTCCCATATACCATGTTACTAGGCTTTATGTGAAAAAGGTGTAAACCCTTTTCCCCAAAGGAAAAAAAATCTGTTTTATCATTGGGGCTTGTGTCCTGACCAACAGTCTGTGGCTTACCAGTTATCAGTAGGACTAGTAAATAATTAGACATGAGCCAGATACTCAACAATCTCTTATTGTAGAACATATTTTGAAAATGTTTTGGATGAAGAAATGTCTTACATTATATTTGTAGTGCAAGAGACTTCAGAGATAATCTAGTCTATGGGTAACAAACTTAAATGCTTTCAGGGCCAAACTCAAACATGGGAGTCTGTGGCAATTGGAGAAGGTACAACTCAACTGAAGGCATTCAAAACATTGCCAGCCCCTGGACCTAATCTCATGGATTCATTTCCCATCTAAAGAAACTGAAGGACGGGCCGAGTGGCTCAGTTGGTTAAGAGCTGGCTTGGGAGCGTGAGCTCTGAGCAGCAGGGCTGCAGGTTCGGATCCCACATGGGCCAGTGACGCTGTGCCCTCTAAAGCTAAGATGGTGAACAACAGCTTGACCTGGAGCTGGGCTGCCGTGAGTAGCTATCAACAGCGTAGGCTGCAGTGGGGCTGCAGTGGGCTGCTGTGAGCCGCTGGGAGCAGCTGTCCAATGGCTGGTGAGCAACTGCCTCACTCAGGAAGAGCGCAATGATAATACCAACATGGGCCAGTGAAGCGACATCCTCCACAAGTAGACTGAAGAACAAAAGGACAGCAACTTGTCTGTTCCCCTTCCCCGATTCCCTAACACTGTTCCCCTTCCTCAATTCCCCAATAAAATCTTTAAAAAAAAGAAACTGAAGAGATTAGGTTTAGGTGACTCTTAGAGGTTCCATAGCAAACATATTAATCAGTCAGTGCACAGCATAAAACCCAAACCAGTCCAGGTATTTTAAGCAGGAAGAGACTTTGTACAGGGAATTAAGGGGACTGTTGAAAGGGCTGGAAGTGCTGGGTGTAGGCTGGACTTCCAGGAATATCAGTAAATGAACAACCAAGGAAAGTACTATTTTCTTACACTCAGGTTGTTCAGCAACTGAACAACCAGGAGTATCAGTGACAGAACAACCAAGGACACTCAGGAGGTCCCACAGCGACTTGGAGTTTAAGAACACCACTGTAGCTGTGACTCCTAGAAGCTGGGACCTGGAGGCTGCCTGGATAAGGAGCACAGAATATGGTCACCACCTTCCTCAACTGCCTCTTGATAGCCACAGAGCCGATGATTCAACAGGACAATGGTGACTCTGGCTGTTACCAATGCTGTAAGTCCTTCCCCACACCCACATTTCTGGATGCTGGACACTGACATCTCCAGGAACTTCCTTGTCAACAGAAAACATCCAAAAATAGCAGGGACATGGCACGCCTGCTGTGGAACTCTCAGGCAAATATTGCCTGACCCTGATTTTACAACCAGAGCTGTAGCTGGAAGGGAGTATGAGAAATGTTTTAGCTTTCCTGTTTCTCCTGTACAAGAAGGCACACTAGAAACAGGTAGGAATGGACGTGAGTGACAAACTTCCATATCCAACGGAAGACCTTTTGGTGTAGGTCCCAGGACTCAGACGCACATCCCTCTTTCCCCCACTTACTCTATAATGCCTACAATGGAAATCATACAAAATTAAAAAAAAGGCAAACACCTGGTCAATAGGGTTATAATTCCAAAGACCTTTGTAAGCTAGAAAATACATTGTGATTTAGTCATTTGTTTACATCATTTCTAATTACTTGTTAAGTATGTTCTGACCTATTGGATTTTGGGCTACTGAATGGCAGAAACTGTATTTCATTCATATTTGTATCTCTTATGTCCCTATGCCTGCTTGGCCCAGAGAAGACACACAGGTATTTACTGAAATGTTTCACTCCTGACTTGGGGAGAAACAGTAAACCAGAATTTCACGAGTACGGGTTAGCAGCAATGTCAGGTGGAGGCCTCCCCATTACAGGGGAGGAGTGGGGAAAAGTGTTAGTCTTTCTGTGAAAACAGAGGATGACCTGGCTAAGTAAGGTAGCTACTCGGTCTCTATGGGGGTGCTGTCGATTTCTTGATGGGAGGCTTAAGGAAACACTGGCTTCCTGCTATTAATCGTTTAGTGCGACAAACCACACCAGAATCTAGGGTGAGATAACACGGAGGAGACAGCAAGCTGATGCCTGGTAAGAAAAAAAAAAAAGCCACAGACTCAGCATGCACGTTGAGTTGGTGGTTCTATTATCCAGCAAGTAGGATCTGATGGTCTTAGCACCTAGGGGTGCTAACCTAGCCCGCAGCAACACCCCCTGATTGACTTGAGAGCTAAAACAAAACAAACACAACTCCTGTCCAACCACACAACAGCAAACACACCTCCCACGCGGTGTACAACCACAAAGGGCTGGGGGCTCGCTCCGGGTCTCTGGTCTGGCAAGGCCGACAGGGTTCCCGCCGCGGGCGCCTGTTCTTTCTTTGCAACCTTAGTGTATTCTCCAGGGCCACTTACCTTGCGGCCTCGGGCGCAGGCACTGCACTTTGCCCGGCGACTAAAAGGTGAGTTGAAAGGTGTGCAGAGCAGGCTCGTCTAGCCTCTGAGCGCTGGGCTTCTGGGGCGCGCATCGCTACAGGCGGAGCGCCAGGCTGCTGAGCACCAGCGCTTTGGGTGTGTGCGGCTCCGCCTTCTCTGCACGCGCGCGGGGCATCCCAGCAGAGGGAGACCCGGCCCCGCGAATACAAAGCACACCTGGGGAGAGCGCGGACTGGGTCCCTCTCGCGGCCCCCGCGGGGTTTGGGGTCGAATAGCGCCGTTGCGAGGGGCGCCGGGCAGACCTGGGGGGCAGGTGCGGGAGGGGCCAGTTCCCGGGACCTCTGAGAGGCACGGTGTTCAGTAGTTTCTTCCCGCTGGGCTGCCTGCGGACCCCCGGGTGCCCGGATCAGTGCGTTCCCCGAGGACAATCCGTGGAGAGGTCATCTCGAGAGCGCAGCCCCTGGCGCCCAGTCTCCCCTGGTGATGCCGAGATCCTGGGTGAAGACGCTAGTTCTTCAGGTGCCAGGAGTGTGGTCTGGGTAGCCAATGGCTGGGTTTATCGTTCCCTAAACCAACCTCTGTATTTTGGATTTTAACGCCACCGTTTAGTCGTACTTTTTAGAAGAATCTTCTCAGGTGCGGTGGGAGACAGGTTTCTTCCCTGGTCACCAATTAAGTGAGATAAAAAACTTCTCTCCCTTTCATTGTTTCTTTAACACATGCCCTTCTTGCTGTGTATTGTTTTGGATTTAACCTTTCCGTGAGCTGTTTCATTCTTTTTCCTTCTAAAGACCCTTCCGTTTTCGTCTTCCTTTCCTCTGTGTCTCCTCACCCCCCCCCCCCCCAACTAAGTGTGCGTATATGCATGCGCGCCCCTTTTGGGGTAATTTTTATTTCCTTCAAAAATAAAAATGTTCTTACCTGTTTTTCACTCCTTGAAGCAAGTGCCAATTTTAATCACCTCTTCTCAGGCAAGAGGGACAATGCCAAGTGAATGTCTCCACCAGACAGAAACCACTCATTCTTGTCCCTCTGGTTCTCCTTTGTGGAAAGAATGGATGAACCTACGTTCTGTCCAATAACCTTCTTCAGAGCATCTAAAATGATTATTCTCCTAAATGGAACTCTTCTTTGCCTAAAGCTTGCAAAAGTTTCTAGTGACATCCAGCTTCCTCTTGCCAAAGGAATGAAAATATTTTTCCTTTTCTTCCAGTCATATGATCCTCATTGATACATCACCTGATTTGATTAGCGTGACTCTGAAAACATGGAACTTTGGGGCTAGATTTTACTTGCTTTTATTGCTTATAATGTTTGATTTAGTTAGCTCTGAGAGAGCTAGCTCTGAGGGAGCATTTGTTAAAGTTAGAATGCATTTGCAGAATCATCACTTGTTTATTTAGAATTCGTTTGTTCATAGCGATACATACAAGTATACACGTGTACTTGCTTACAGCATAAAGTACTTCATACCATACTTAATAAACTACAGTGTTCCATACTTCCTCTGAAAAGCAGTTACAGCATTTTGATACATCTAAAAGAAACTCAGGTCTCTTGGCCCAACTCCCTAATTTCACAATCCAGAAAACTAAAATCCAAGATAAATTGGGCGACTTGATCTGGGTTACAAAGCAAGCTATCTGTGACCCGGTAGTGGAATGTCTGGTTTAGAAGCCCAGAGAAAATCTTAAAATCAATGGACTCTTTGGGAATGCTAGTCGAAATATTCTCGCTGTCAATTTTAACTCACTTTTATAAACTGTAAAGTTTCCTTCCTCAAACATAAAATGTTACCTGTTCATTGTGCATTTCAATATTTCCTTGTTATTATTAAGGTCCTAAGAGAAAAGGCTAAGTATAACTGCTCATTTATTGAGTACCTACTATACATGTGCATCACACCATTTGGTCTTTTGAAGCAGTAACAAATAAAAAACATATAAAACCCTATAAAGAACAAGAAAATTTCTTATAGACTCACCATCCTTGAATTTACTTAACCTTTTTCTTGAAAATTTTCTTTTCTTTCTTTCTTTGTTTCCTGTTACACGATTCATTTGTATTTTTTTATCCAGAGACTATTTCTAAATTTCATGTCCTCTTAACTGTCATCATGGAATTTGATGAAAAAAACCCTATACTTAATATAAAAAAAAAATCCCTCAAACTGACAATACTGCCAAGTTAGTTAACTCTATTTTCTTAAGACCATGAAAATATCATTGCTTATTTTAATAAAGATTTTTTTACTTAGACTAAGGAGTTAAATACCAAGAAAATAGTACTTAATTATAAGTGATGACATCCATTAAGTATAAACACCTGATGGTTATTTTTCCTTTATATAACAGATTAACAACATAGTTCTGAATCTAAACATCTTTCAAGGTAAGTTACTAAAGCCACACTCCTTCTTACATCTGGTATTCAATTATAATGGTGTACGAATTTTAAATTAGTATCCATATACAGACCAATGCAGAATTCTACAAAAGTATTTGAATATAGGGAAATAGAAGTAAAATAGAAATTAATACTTTTTTCTTAAAAATCTTCCTTTTTTCTTCATATTCACAGCTTAACTTTATATGCTTACAAATTGGGGCTGATTTTTAAAACTACTCACTTGCAATAAATTCATTCTTTCATATTATCCACAATGATTTCAAAAGAGATGAGAAAGAGATTAATGTATTTAAAGAATCAGACTCTTGTGAACAATGACATCGTTAAAATGAGCTTGTTTTGGTTACTATGCCATTAATAGGAAAGATATGATGGGTGAGTTTTCTTCATAACCAAGTTCATGGTGGACAGGAACGGTCTGCCTCCCCATCAAGGAGATCCTGAAATCACAAGCTCCAGCCTCCATCGATGATGACAGGATTACCTGTAACGTAGGCAGACTGCAAAGACAAACCCAATGAGACAACAAACCAGGTTTAACACAGGTTGTGTTTTCAATCTTTGATGACTGAGATAGCTAAGCAATTTACTCTCACGGGAACGGGAAAATTCAAACAGAATTTAGGAAAATCTAAATTAATTTTGGATGATTTAAAACTGCCAAGCGTTCTTGTGGTCTGGAGTCAACTGGCCTCTGGCTGCTGTTTTAGCACATGTCACATTCTTTGTAAGGTCTGTTAGGTGTTTCGTCTCAGAATCGGAAAATCAAGAAGTTAGGTGCTATGTGGTCATTTCTCAAATTAGGATACATTGTAGCCTATCATAGTACATTTTCATTTTAAATTCAGAACTATTCTTAACTAGCTGAGTTTTATGCCACTAATAAACTTTTGAGTATAATTAAGTGTGTTGGTCATAAATGGTTGCGTTAATTACCAAACAAAATAAAAAAAATATTGTATCTATATAACTACTCAATATACAGGTAATTCCAGGAGCTGAAGCACAATAAATGAGTTTTAAAAATGTTTATGAAGAATAATTACTATAAACTATGAAAAAATAGTCTATACTAGTTTCAGATACCCAAATCTGTACAAAATTTAAAAAGTTAAAACAAATAACTATTTTGTCCTATAGAATTTTTCATTTTCCAAAAAAATTAAAGCTAAAATGTTTTCTTGTGGTACAGGTTTAAAAATCTTTTAACTTAAACATGGATAATAAAGACTCAAATTTGTGTTCTTAGTTTTAAATTTATCTGAAGCCTGAGACAAGGGAAGAAGTAGGCAGGAAAGACAACATTTTATGAGTACAGAAATTTTTAAAGTTCAATCTATGAAAACTGATCATATAATGTAGGTAAACTAGGGTGTTTTTGGTCACTTTACCAAGAAAGGACCCCAACTCTCCCAAGTTTTTTTTTTGTTGTTGTTTACAATGCAAGCTCTCATATACATACATGTATACATTATATATATGTATAAAATATATATACCGGTGGTGTAAAAAAATGTATACACATTTTAAGAGATGTTATCTATGTGTTACATTTCGAGATTGAATTGAATTATGTAGCAATGTGTAGTATGACATTCGCTCAAAAGATGGTGTTAATCAAATGAATAGCAATTTCTCCAGCTCTTAACAACTGTTGTTAACTGTTCTGAAAAGCAGTAACTGCTCTGTCACTAAAACATTTCAACCCCTGTATTTGTCACATTCACCAACCACCTGGTGTGTTCCAAGTTCCTGTAAAGAGGAACTAACTGGTCAGTGAGTGACACTCCCACCTACTCCCCTTTTCCTTGTGTCTGGTCATACATTATAGTTCCCTGATCATGTAATATTCAAAGACAACATAGAGGGGGATGTTCTTGTGCTCTGTGCTATATGTATGTTCTGCTTTTGCAGTTGTATGCCATTAAAAAATATACAATAGCCATTAAGGAAGAAACTGGTTGCTAAATAGATGCTAAGTAGAAAGAGAATTAGGAATTTCCATACAGGATGACAAACAAGTAAAGAATTCATAGAAAAAAAAGACCAGTGGGAGTCTCCTAAACAAGTCACCAGTAAAACCAAAACCACCAGATGCCAATTCTGTGTCTCCTGGACACAGTCTGGTTACCTTCTCCCCTTTTCACCTGAAACTTGCATCATTTTGGAGGTTCATTTGTTTGACATACATTTAACCAGTGTTTCCCCAATTGTAATTTTTGAAAGCAATTCTCTCTTAGAAAATCGAGCAATTTAATTTTTTTAACGCTCCATTTCATTTGCTACAAGATTTAGTGACATAAAGGTTGAATAAGGAAAAGCCATCAACTCAGATCCAAGTGGCCTTCCTTTGAGCCATTTAAATAAAAACTTATCCCTATTGGTAACTGTAGCATCTTAGCATAGATATGCCAAAACTCTCTGAGATGACATTTTTTGATGACCCAATAGTGGCCAAATATGATTGAAGATAATGAATTCCCTGTGAAGAACAGTGCTTACTTCATCAGAAGCCAAATACACACAGAGCAGGGCAATTTCATCTGCAGTTGCAAATCTTCCAGTCTTCTGTCTCTTCAGAAAATTGCTCAGTGCCTGCGACCAGAAAGCATATCAGACATCAGTGATGTGAGCTCAAGTAGGAACTCACCTGCAGCTCCTTCTGGGGGTCAAAGGCAAGATGAATCTACACACAGGTACCACTGGCTTGCTGCATTAATTAATCATGCATGATACACGATACATAAGAATATTACTAGTATCATTAATTGTGGACCAAGTAGACCAAGCAGGCCTATGGTGACTTAGATGCTACTCGAAGTATTTTGTTGTACTAAAACCGACAGACGCTGCAACAAATCAGAAATTAATGTTAAAGAAGAGGGCTTTTTTTTTAAGTTGTAAAATAATATTTATGTGAAAATTTGCCATCTTCACCATTTTTAAGTGTACATACAGTTCCGTAGCATTAAGTACATTCATAGTGTTCTGCAATGAATCTCAAGAGCGCTTTTCGTCTTGCAAAACTGAAACTCTGTACCCATTAAACAACAGCTCCCCATTCCTACCCACTCCCACAGCCCCTGGAGCCACCCTTCTATTTTCTGTCTCTTTGAATTTCTCTACTCTAGGTAGGGAAGAGGACATTTTCTAGCCAGGAGATTTAAACACATTTAAAATAGTAGCTATACCTCTTCAGGATTTGGCCTGGCTTGTATTCTTTCTTGCAGAGATGGGGTATCAACTGTTCCTAAATCAAAGGGGGACATTCAGCTTGGTTACTTACTTTAACTGAAAAAGAAATTGACAATTAATGACATGGAACCTATCATAATGATACGGCAATCAGTGCAATCCTTCTCCATGACTCAGAATGACAATTTTACCTCCACTTACTTGCCCTTTTAGTTAATAGGCTTATAACTTCTGTAATAACATTCCTATGATTTTTAAAAACACAGACTATAATTCTTGGTGACACGAGGCAAGGACCTGGGTGAATCACCCAGCATTGCCAAGATGTATATTTTAGTCACATTACATTAATATGATACTGTATGGATTTTAAGCACTTTTACGTGTATCATTTCAATTAATTCCCACAATCACCTTGAGATTATATAAAATCATACAAGTACTTAACTAGTACAAGGATCCAAACTGCCTTAATCATCTCAAAACCATTTGTGCTGTCAAGTTCAACTTGCATGACTGTCACAGTCCTCTATAATTTAGGTGTTTTTAAATTTTTTTTATTATCTTGCCTAGTCTCATTGGTTTCAAATTCCTATTTTTAACCACTGTTGCATGTTTCTCATAAAAATATAATTTGAAATTATTTTATTTAAAAAAAAGAAAAGTAAGAATGACACTGAAAGTTTTAAATCCCAGTTAGCTAACGCTCCTACAGAGAAAGTTCCCCAGACTTTTGTTCACGGATGTAATCTGTAAATTCTCTTTAGCAGGCCTTTTTTTTTTCCCCCTGATTGACCGTGTTTTTTCTGGGGACCATGTGATCTTTCTAAGGTCCCAGCAAATGATTTTACTGTCACATCCTTAGCTTCATCTTTAGACCATGCTCCTGAGATTTAATGTTTACTGGGAAACCATTTCTTAATTTTATCATCATTTGCCATTTCTCGGGAGAGCCTGGGAATCTTCAAAATCAGCAAATCCTGGCTCCTTTTTCTAAAATTTTTTTTTATTGTTAGTTTCTGGTGTACAGAACAATGCAGTAGTTATCCTTTTCACCCTCACAAAGTAACAACCCCACTCCCCCCATGTATTGCCCTCCCACCCCTGATATCATGCTTATCTATTACAATTCCATTGACTCCATTCCCACTCTGCCTCCTTTTTAATGCGCAGCCTTTTATTTAGCTTCTCTCCCTCCTCTCAGATTTTACTACAAGCAGGCAGCACTTTCCAACACTCTGGGTGGAAACTGCCTTAGCTAAATCGCCCAGCTCATGAGGAGTATTTTCTACTTTCCACATACTGCGGACAATAGTGTTGGCATACTTTCTGAAACCACATAACAAAGATCCCTTTGGATCTAGTTTCTGATATTTTCCTCACTTCTCTCATCAACTGCCTCCTTAAAATCCAAAATTCTACCAACAGTGTGCTCGAGGCACCTAAAGCTTTCACTTAACAGTCTCTTCAGAATCCTTACAGCTTTATCAGCGTCCTTGCACTGAGGCAAATGAGCATCATATCTTACACGTGGCTGGTAGGAACGGCTATTAAAGGAACACTGTACTGCAAGCCTATGCCCTCCACTTAATTCCATTGTCACTCTGCTGTGTTCATGGCACAGACCGACACACCATGCCACAGTCTCCACAAGTCTGGGGGTGAGGAGTTGTGACTGTACAACCACCAGTGCCATCCCAGACACAATCATCCCTCATCAGGTTTTCTTCTATGACTGGTTCAGTGAGTCACAGCTAGTTCCTTGTTCCAGAGAGTTTGATAACATAGTTTCCAATCTCCTGAAAAGTCCAGCTGCTAATACAAACATATTTTCCAAATCATTTTGCCATTGATTCCATTGGGTAAATAGCACCAAGAATAGCCGGACTCAAGTACCACAAGTACATACGCTAAAACCCAGTGAAACCGTCCATCCTGAATCTTCCTTTTTCTCAGTGTTACCTGTGTTTATCTTTCTAGTCCAAGAAAAAACTTAAATAGAGCACCTCAATCATGGAAATTCAGTAGCTTGAAGGGTACTTAGTAGTTTTTCCTGTTTAACTAATAAGTCAGTGGTTTTTCAACCTGAGGGGAGGCCCTGATGGATTACTACACCAGAAGCTCCTGTGGGACTTTTCAAACCACAGGCACACCTTGTTTGTGCTTCACTTTTTTGTGTTTCATAGATGTTGGGTCTTTTAAAACTTGAAAGCAAGACCCTCTACCAGCAAAAAGATTACAACTCGCTTTATTTCGATACTCGCTTTATTGCGGTGGGCTGGAACCAAACCCTCAGTACTTCCAAGGCATGCCTGCACTGTACACAGTTTCCCTCGTCAACTCCTTCTCCAAATTCTGGCAACCACTCAGGTTTTGAAAGGTCCCACAGATAATTTTGAAATTATATGCCTCCCGAAATCCTCAAACACCAGCTGTGAATTACTGAGAGGAACTTTGGCCCTGGATATGCAATATTTAATTTCTTTTCAGAGAGGAAGTTAATAATTGTTCTTAGGCACCTTGTATTCATTTTGAATAGGTGGGGCCAGGTGGAAGGTCATACTTATTTAATAGACCCACCCACAGTTATAAAGAGGATAAGTTATTCCTAAGAAATAAGTTATTGAATGCTTTTGTTGGACAAATTTAACGTCCTTTCTACTAAGAATAAGTTCGGCTTTTCTCCTTTCCTTTATATGCAAGGTCAGCATACTTTTTGGTAAAAAGCCAGATAGGAACTATTTTTAGCATTGAGAACCATTTGGTCTGTCACAACTATTCAACTCTGTCAGTGGCACCAATACAGCCCTGGCCAACACATAAACAAACCGGGTGTATGTGTGCTCCAATCAAACTGTACTTAAAAACAGGTAGGGGCCAGCTTTGGCCCGCAGGCCATCCTTTGCTGACCCCCTTTTTATAGTATAAAGGAAGGTGTTAACCTTTCCTTCTAATTTATGGACCACCCAGGTGATTTGCAGGACTCAGCGGCCACTAGGAAGGCTCCTTGTACTTTCTTTCTGCTGTCTGGTGAGCGTGGCCCACTTTCCCTCTTTCCCCCCCCGACAAGGTCATCCCGGGTCTGGTTCCCAAACCCTGGCCAGTGATGTCTCTGAAGCTCACGGTTTAGAATTGCCCGTGTGAGTGACGTTAAACCCTTTTCATCCGTGGCTTATTCCTAAGGAATTTAGCCGCTCTCCCAATTTACTGTTGGACTGTTATCTTAATAAGCCTAGGATCTTTTACTTTTGAACTTTTCCTTATGACAGTATACAATATAACATGGGGTAAACAAACTCATGCAGATAAAACTCATGCAGATATCTCTCACCGTGGCAACGGGGCTGTCAGAAAGGACATGCTCACAGCCCTCAAGTGCGAGCTCACCTGGACACACACAGTTGCACCTGATACCCTGCTGGATGAAGTCTGCAGCCACGGACTTCGTGAGGCCGATCACGGCTGCCTTGGTTGCACTGTACACACATCTATTCACAACTCCTGAGGGGGTAGGGAAGGTTCAACAATTGAAGGAATAAAAAAAAAATCTCCTTTAGAGAGGGAACACAAATAAGCGTCCTCGATCACCATTGTCATGCTTCTTCCCACCTCCCCCTTTTCAAAAATAGATATCAGTTTCCCTCCCTTAATAGAGCTAGTTTCTGAATCTGTGAAAGTAGTATTGGCACAACTCAGCTGAGATTTAATACCTAAGTATTGAGAGGCTGCACTTCAGTGCCTGCAATGGCCTTAGTGTTTCACCATCAGTTGGTAGACCCCTTAGGCAGATTCCAAAAGAAAATCAGGGTAAAGAAAAAACAAAACAAGAAACAAACACGCAAAAAATCAAGAGGTCTGGGCATTTCTTGGCATTCCTCTCTTGTGCAGGCTTCATGTGCGTATCCTTGCAAAGAGAAGGAATGTAATCTCAGCAGTAGCTATTTCACTTTAAACTCACAAATCCATCTGTGCCAGACTGTGACATTATCTCCACTTTGCACTGCAATCCTGGCTCTTCAACTTGACTTCTCATTTAGGGCCCAGATCAACTGTCTTTGTGAATCGCTCCTCACATCCACAGGCAGTTAGCTCGCTGGTATTGTGACAGCACTTTGTACAAAGTTCTGTTCTAACACATGGACGGTCCCTCTGTAGAAGGTGTGTGTTTGCCTGATACTCACTTCCTGTGGGACTGTGAGTTCTTTTGAAACAGGGGCACATAGTGGGTGTTCAACACACCTTTTTCGATTAATTAAGTGGATAAATGTTGCCTTCTCCCAGTTTGATCTTCATGAATAAAAGGGAGGGCAAAGCAAACAAACTTTAATTTTATGGCTGCTTCACATCTAAGGCAAAAGGACGGGTAGTTAAAGAACTTAACACCAATTCTTAAAAGGCAGTTTTGAAGTTGCGTGTGGGCTTCATGATCTCTGCTATGCTTGTTCCGAAGCCCTGAGCTTGGGAAGGTGAGTGAGTATGTGTCTTATGATCCCAGAGGAAGACAGACCTACCCTTGATGCTGGAAGCCACAGAGGACATGTTGATAATGTTGCCAGATTTCTGAGCGAGCATCTGCCAAAACACAACAACAACAAACTGCCGTTTTTATCTGCAGGATAAAAATTCTACCTCTTTAAAAGATTTGCATTTACATAGGGTTTACAGAACCATTTTGTTAGCTAGTAACATTAAGCTCTGTTAAGGAGTCTCACCCTATATAGCTGCAAATTGATGGCACGTGCACACACTCATGGGCAGCAATAGTTCTCAGGGGAATTACCACCTTCCTGTGGCACGAGAACATCAGCGAGACCAAGAGAACTCTGAGCTAAATGGAATGCGAATGAACGGTAATGCTTACGGTGTGTTCCTGATGGTGCAAAACTCTTATTTCACTCAACTCGGTTATTTGCTGACTGCCTACTGTGGTCGGGTATTGTATTAGGTCCAGGAGATTCAAAGGTCAGTGACAAAACCCCCGCCTATAGGGAACTGCCAGTCTGGTTGGAGTGGCTGACATAAGCAGCATCCAGGGACAGCAGAGACCTTCATGGAGAAGAGGGTGGTGGTAGGCTCCAGGCTGTGGGACAGCCAGAGGAGGGCTTCTGAGGAGGGAATACGAGGGTTGAGTTCTGAAGACTAGAGTGTTAGTCCGAAAAATAGAAGAGTATTTTAAAGAGACAGAACTGTATGCATAAAGGCTCTATCACGGAACTGGAGGGGGAATGGGTCTGGCTGGAATGCAGGGTGTGGGACGAATGAGGCTGCACAGGCCACCAGAGGCTAAATTTAGGAACTTGGGCTTCACACTGAGGGCAACAAGGTGGTGACAGAAAAGGGTGTAAGGCAGAGGAGGAGTGATCTGTTTAGATTTGGGGACTACAAAAATGGCCCTGGCACCCTGGAGAGAAGACCACTGGAAGCTGAGGCAGTGATTTAGGAAAGGGGTGATGAAAGCAGAGAAGCAGAAATGTCTGTGGGTAAAGAGATAGAGACAATTGAGGCAGTATGGGCAGGACCTGGTAAATGGTTATGGGAAGTGAGGGCTGCCTCCCCCATTTAGGGCAGTGCTTCCTAGGAATGTCTCCCTAGGATTTCCACCAAAGTATGCACTTCGTGAGGGGAGGGTCTGTGCCTGTTTTGTCCTACTAGACAGGGTACACAGTAGTGGTCAATACATTTGGATGAATCAAAATCTCCTGAGGTGCCAATTTAAAGTTCAGGTTGCTGGGTCCTGCCCCAGACCTAAAGGAATATCTAATGAAAAAAGCTGCTATGGATTAAAAAATGTTTTCAAATGAACTTATACTTTATTAATTATAACATGTATGTATGTTTTCAAGATAACATACATATGTGCAAGGGTATGGTTACTCGTGAATGTTTTGGGGAAAGAAGCAAGAAGTGGGGAGAATTCCTGCCTCATGGGCACTAACTTCTCATCGAAATCAGAGGCTGGGAGGATGCCGATAAAGAACCAGGGAGACAGTGGACACGAGAGAGTGGTGAAAACATTAAAGTAATAGCTGGGGGAACTGCAAGAACCAACTAGAGAGGAGAAGGAAAAACAGGATATGCTATATCATGAAAATCAAGTGAAGAGCTTCTAAAAAGAGTCTCAAATAGGCAGTGTAAAGGGTCTGGAGAGAAAACAATCACTTTTGTTGGGGTGTTTCTCCAGCAGCTTTCAGACAAAGAGGTGTAAGACCGGGGGAGGTGAATGATGGGATCAATCCAGGAGTGAGGTTGCAAGATCATAGGTTTCCTTATGGTCTTCTTCTTACTTTCTGTTTTGCACTTAGCTACAAATTGTACCTAAAAGCTGAGTCTAAAAACCCTAAGACATTGTCAGATGGACTAACAGGGTACAAGGAGAGGCTGAGGTGACCCAACCGTCAAGGAAGATGACAAGGGAGAAAATATTTACTCCAACTTGTTTGTCTATCTAATAGAAGATTATAATGAAATGGGGTCCTCATAAGAAAGCATCGGGAAAGTTAGGAAAGTATAGTGGTGTTGAAAACCAAGACTTCAAAGGATTCTTTCTTACTCATTTTAGCGAATAACATAACCCTACTTATTCATTTATTTCTCCAGTTTCATTGAGCTATCGTTGTCCTATATAACCCTTTCTCAATACATACAGAATACACAGAGTCCAATTTAATACCGGGGGTGCCAAAAAATGTATACAAATGGAAACTTTGGTCAACGTTGCTCAAGCAGTAGTTCGGCATAATCAGAAGTGTCCGGATGCTGATGGTCACCACTTTGAGCACCTCTTGTAATTGCAAACGTCAAAGGTGACTTGTATTCATCTTTTATTATCAGTATATATCGAGTATTACAATTTTAATAGTTTTCCTTTCTTAGAATGTGAATACATTTTTTTGGCACCCTCTCTACATAAAGATGGGCTATTAAGTAAGTTAAGTCTTCAACCTTCTGAAATGTAATTAACTCAGGCAAAACTTTAGACTATGGTCACCTAGGAGATGTGGTGCTGCCCCCTAATGCTTGTATATCCATTCCACCCATGTTCTAGAGCCCTGCTGATTCTACAGCCCATCGCCCTTGCCTCCTTCCACGCCACCTTCTCAACACCAGCTCTGTGTCCGCTGCCACAGCATGACTGCTCTTCCTGGCTCCCCCTCCAACAGTCCTTTCTGGCAAGGATGACTACAAGTATAAAGTGAAGTGCCTGGTATATAGTAATACTATATAGGATTGATGTCCCAAAAACTCAGGTGGGGGTTAGAAAGATCTCCAAAAATTCCCTCTCACTCTATCTATTGATAGTTAGTTCTACACCGACCGAGCCATTTCTGTCCCCACTGACCAGAGCTCAGCTCCTAAACTCGGCAGACCTTGGCTTATGGGTCATCAGTGATTCCATGCCTGACCCCCAACGAGATTGATAACCTAGATGTGTTTGTTCATTCAATAAATGTTTGCGAGGCACCTCTATGTGCTACGGGCTCTCCTAAGATACAGGAAGGGGAGCACCGCCCACCACATATCCAAGACCTCCCCTAATTCTTGCAGTAATACATCTTCTCTTCCATTCCATACTGGGTCTCGGGTTCTGCACGGACTTCTTCTTACAGTGTTTTCAACCTGTTGTCTGCCTTTTGACTGATCTTCCAATTTTGGAATGGGTTTCTTTCTGTCTGTCCATGAACAAAATATTCCTACAAGTGTTCCTGTGTTTTGACCATCTGACCTTTCAGATCTGCCTAGACTCCAAATCCTGGCTTCCCCTGGAAAATTCGAACCTGATATATGTGCGTCATGGTTAATGAACACAGGATCCTAGACAATTTGGTCTGGAAGGGATTGTGTCACCCTCATTTTAAAAAGAAGAAATAGATGTTGAGAGGGCACAAGTGCCATCTCCCAGGTCACGAGGTAATTAGCAATTAGGGACAGAGGTCAGGCCTTGCCTAAGGTCTTCTGAGGCCAGGGTCATTTTGGTTAGGGTCACTTTAACAAATGGCACTAAATTAGTAGACATGATATAGTCATGGAGATATGAAATACAGCATAGGGAACATAATCAACAATGTTGTAAAGATTATGTTGGGTGCCAGGTGGGCACTGGACTTATCAGGGGGATCGCTTCATAGACTGTGTAGATGCCTGACCAATACACTGTACACCTGAAGCTGAAGTTGAATAATATTATATGTCAACTATAATTAAATGTATACAGAGGGTGTCAGGGAAATGTATACACATTTTGAGAAGGGAAATAACTGTATTAAAATTGTAATACTCAGTATATACTGATAACAAAAGATGAATACAAGTCACGTTTGACTTCTGTAATTACAAGAGGTACTCAAAATGGTTACCATCAGCATAATTTTGGTACAGGTTTTTCCTTTCATAAAAGTGTGTGTACATTTTTTTGGCACCCTCTCTCTATATATATATAGTCACGGGAGGTGGAGTATAGCATAAGAAAGATAGTCAATGGTATTGTAACCATTATATAAGATGTCAGAGGGGTATTAACTTGGGGGAGGGGGGTTATCACTTTGTGAGGGGTGTAAATGTCTAACTATTACGTTGCTTTGTACATCTGCAACTAATAAAAAAATAAAATAAAAATGAAAGAATAAAAAAAATGAGTCAGTCAGAGAAAGACAAATATCATATGATCTCACTTATACGTGGATTCTAAGGAACGGAATGGATGGGAGAAGTGGATGGAGATAGTCTCAGAGACA